CCTGCATTGTCAAATGTAAACCTGTTGAAAGGCAAAGAGAGGTAATTCCATCTCTAGTTTTGAACGCTTTCGTTTTAAGTATTGCTATTTTGATCGAAAAGCTTTTGCACAGTTTTTTTTTTTTTAAATTAATCCTTTTTTTATCATACGAAGAGTCACAGTGCTCCCTCGACAATTTTCACAGAAAAGATGGTGTGTCACATGGCCCCTTAGTAGATTGACAAAAAATAAATATCCGAAATTTAAGCTTATTTTTGCATATAATTAATCTTTGATATACATGTATGTACCTCCAGGAATACCACTTCTACAGAAAATATTTTATGCAAGATACATGATTTAATTTCCAGTTTCGGGTAGGGTACACTGACCCGAATAAATTCCTCTCACTTGCTTTGGTATGCTGCTCGTAGCAATTTCGGCTGCGTTTATGTAAGTAGATAATATAGAGGGTGTTGCAGAAACTCGTGATTATTCCCTAAATCGAGAAGGTCATTTAAATACCCACGACGCATGAAGAGTTATCTCTAAATATAGATAAAGCTACGTAGATTGCTTTATTTATACAGCGGGTATGTCCAGCTTGTTATAACAAAACATTTCACATTTTATGTTAATATCATGCATACATTTTCCTAAATAGACTCGCACATCATTTTGAAAGATGTACTGTAAAAAGCGTGCGTTAATATTTTTCAATATACTAGTATACAAATGTGTTCAATAATTACGCTATTGATGCAATATCCAAGAAACTCCATTGAGTCATTTCAATTTAGTTGTTTCAAGTCAAATCTGAGCCACTAATTAATAGAACAATAATGAAACGAAATGCATATGAATAAATTAAATTATTTTAAATGATAGTACTTTATTTTTTAAGACATTGCCACTAAATAATAACATTAAATGTATGTCTTATTAGTTTTAGACACAATATCAAAGAAAACATTTTAATTTTGCATTTATTTAAAATATTACCCATTAACTTTCTGACATTCTCTACCTCTCTCTTTCTCTCTCAAGAGAGTTGTTACATTATACTTCCATTATAGTGTATAAGAAAAAAATGTACATACCAGCCATGCCAGGATTCGAACCCATTCTCAGGTAAAAAAAAAAAAAAAAAAAGAATCTTCGCATAGAGGCCACACGCTTTACCACTAGAGCAGCTCCGACACTGAATTAGAGTGTGCTATTTTATGTACACACTTTTCATTTCGGGTGGATAATAATTTTTCTTCGATTTTTGTGAGTTTCAAAAATATGCCTCTTTGAAACAAAAATCGGAAATGGCAGTTTTGAAGAAAATTCCTGTCTCTTTATGCGTATATCAAATTCATTTTGTTTCAAGGAGGCAGTTTTTCAGAACAATGGGGATTCCCTATTTGAAAAACAGAAAACTTGACTTATTTTGCTATGTGACTAATTTACACTTCTTTTAATGGCAAATTGGTAGTCGATATGCATTTTGCAAACATTGTTCTACATTGTGCTGTATATTCTGTTGTATCTGAAAAAAATTAAGACCGTTTTCTGTTACTTAAAAATTTTCTTTTAAACTGCTACAGCTTTATGGAAAATAACAAAAGAACTGCAACACCCTCTTTATAGCTCTGTTAATTGTTGTGGTTTCGTATAAACTTAAACTGGTAGGTGTTTTCCTTTAAGTAAATATACCATCGATCATTATAATTTAGGATATTTTTATAGAGACTGCATTAGCTTGTACACAGGTTTTTCTTCGTGAAATAAGTTGGTCTATCTTGAGACCAGATTGCTTTGTGTTTAGACATGCTAGATGCTTTTTTCAACTTAATAGGGGAATATTACATTCCAAGTTATTTCCCACATCAGACATAAGAAAGCGTTATCTATAATTAGGTAAAGTCTTACAAATACATTGTACATTGTATGTGAAAAAAAACAAATGAAAGTTATTCTTGGCAAAGCCCGAGCACAACGGATTTTAAAACATAATTCAATTCTTCACGATAAAACACGAGTTTGACTTCGTCATTTCGAGAGCAAAGAATTAAAAAGATTCTGATCTGCTTGAATATTCCCATAAAGCAATGGACGATACAAAATCAATGTAGTCCGCAGAGCTAATAGAACATCTAGCAAACTTTCGGAAAATTCTGTTGCAATCTGAAAACAAAAGACTAAATTTCAATGATAGTTATTCTCTCAGTGATGAAAATTATTATAACTTGACAGGAATTTCTGAACCGCAGTTAAAAAAAAAATTAATGTTTAATTCGCATTTTGCGTAATAAAACGTACTCCAAGAAAACACTTGTTGGAATTCTATTAGCAATACTACGAAATGGTCTTTCAAATAATATACTAAAACTTTATTTGATATCGATAAATCTTCTTGTATTTATAAAATCACCAAGAGTGTGAGAGAAGCTATGATGACCCAATTCGACCCATGTACAGGGGCTTCGACCATATCGACAATATCTCAAGGTGAAGTGATTCGCAATCACAGTACCATATTTGCGCTGGAACTTCTTCCATCCGTTGATTCAATTACCGCTATCCCTCTTCTCGATGGAACATATATTTATATTGAAAAAAGTTCAGAATATTTTCAATGAAAGTCCTACAGTGTGTACAAAGGTAGTTCTCTTGTCAAACTAGTGATGGTTTTGGGTCCAACTTGTGGCATCCAACGGGTGCATTATTGACAACCTTGATCCGTAATTTGCAGATGAGATGAACAATGATGCCGCTATTCTAAACCAGTATTTATCCAAAAATGAAAACTATTTCAAAGTAGTCTGAGAAATGAGAATCTAGTTTTAGATTCTCTTGATGTGATCTAGTCGTTGTGATTACGAACAGATTCACCATATTTTCTGGGGAAAAACAAGTTTCTGTATCTAAAGCTAATGCATCTAGGTTATTGACCAAAATTAGATGTGCAGTTGAATCTTTAAATGGTAGATAAAATGATCGAAATTCTTAGCAAATATAGTTTCAAATACACAGAATTATGTTTATTATCGATTATGTACGTATTGTGGGATCATTGATCATTGCATTCAGACCACCCATACCGTCTGATTCTGTGAGCAATTTAGAAATGTCACACAAAATGCTCAAAAAATCAAAAAATAATGTTAACCCTTTAAGGGATATGTTTATTAATTCCTCTGGCAAACGAATATTATCAATGAAATTAACAAAAACGCGACCAGATGTTTCTGTTCTCTCAGAAGATTATCTTTGATTCCTCACCTATGGTGTATATCAAACAAAAAAGGCATTTTCTTATACACGTGAATATCTAGATGAAGACAGGGGTATGATATTTTTGTAGGAAAAATTTTGCCGAAAATAATACAGGGGAAAATATAGTTTAGACACGTATCCTCAAAATCATATTACATTGTATCTGTGGGCATATTTCGATTACGAGGATGAATTTGATACTATAAAATTTTGGTATTGCCAAAGTAAGTCGGAGTCGGGCAGTGGTCCAACATCATGATGCTTCTCTTCTTTGGTGTATAGGCATCCAGAGGCACAACAACATCACTTAACACTCAGATAATGCCAAAAAATGTGTTGGATTTATGCCAGTGAACTTGAAATAAAAGACATCACAGAGTCTTCCACATCTGCTTCATATTTGGATGTTTTACTGACTATAGACGACAAAGGCCAACTAACAACTAAATTGTTTGACAAACAAGATGACTTCAGCTTTTCCATCGTCAACTTTCCTTATTTATGTAGTAATATTCCGCTATCACCTGCATATGATGTTTATGTCTCCCAACATTTTTGCTTCTCAAGAGCATGCACTGAGTACGATCAATTTTTAAATCGAGGCAGGTTACTCACACATATGTAAGTTGATTTAACAGGGATTTCAACAACTTCGTTTTAAGTCAGTATTCCGTAAATTATATGGTCGATATAATGACCTTATAAGCAAATATCACCTATCAATGTGTCGTATTATGGCATACTTGTTTCCTACCAATTGTTAGACCTTTGTTTTTATACTAAATTTACTACGGAATGTTGTCGCTCGCGTGGCGCAGTGGTTAGAGCGTCTAGAGTCGCTCAGTAAGGTGTTGATCCTTACGTCGCAGATTCGAATCCACTGCGGGACGTGGACACCGATCCTTCGGATGAGACCGTTTCAACCGAGGTCCCCTGTCGCAGTAGGTGCTGGCACGAAAAAGATCCCTCCCTACTGAGAGGTCGTAAGTGCCGAGTACAGGTCTAAATTTGCAGATCTCCACCAGCAAGTAATGGCGTCTCAAGGGAGGTTTAACACACAAACAAACAAAAGCATTATCACCTGCATATGGAGTTCATATTTCCTAATTGACTCGATACGCTAGAGCATGTTCTACGTACAAACAATTTCTAAAACGAGACAAGCTATTGACAAATAAGCTGATGATACAAGGATGTCAGCAGTTATTTTAAGGCAACGTTTTGCAAATTCTACTGCCGATACAATGACCTTGATAGCAAATACAATCTATCATTTAGTTGAATATTAACTAAGGCTTTTCTTACAAATTGTCAGGCCATTATTTTCACACTTTTGCACGATCATGGCAAAGAGCAAGCGGCGGATGACGGATGTGACTAGTCGACAGGAGAGGCTATTTGGCACCTGGTCCCAAATCTAATGTTCTTAGATATCCTTGTTTGCTCTGTTCCCAATTTGTATTGTTCGGATGGACTTTGAGCTTGATTACTGTTCGTTATCGTCATATTTTACACACTGTATTTTCAACATACAATATAATACAATAGAAACGTCACATTGGATATTGGTTAAAACTGTTTTATTTTTTTCTTTATAATCGTTTTCATTTTTGGGACAGTTTCCCTGGACAGAGTACCAAATTATACAATGAACTCTAGAAAAAAATCTTTTGCAGACGTTTATGACCAACTAACAACTATATGACAAACGGGATGACCTCCGAGTAAGCTTTTCCATGGCCAATTTTTACTTAAGGCTTATGAGAATAAGCTAAGTTTATGTTGAAAAGAATACCGTAACTTTAACATCTACCAGGTTAGGTTCTGATGGTTACATTTAATTTGTTCAACGATTCTGATTGGATGTTATTTATAAACTAGATTCAGTGGCAGAGTGGATTGTAAACAGAAGTCTAATATTTATTGCCCGTTTTCCACGGTCTTAAAATTCTAATTGTGACTGTGCATTGCGTGTACAGAATTATGTGAGATATGTGAACAATTTTAATACAGAAGTTGTATGTTTCCGTGATTTATAAACTGTAATCGTAGTTTGGAATTCAGAGACAGTTATCTCACAATGGCGGATGGTAATTCAAGACCGCGCACTCGCCAGCGTCCATTACAAAATATGTCAAGTCGATGGGACGCTACTAACGTAAACAATTGGACAACTACACAGTTTCAAGAAGAACTTCTAAAATTAAACATTCGTGTCCCTGCTAATATTGGAAAGGCGACTCTTAGAAAACTCTACTTGGAAAATGTAAACAGAACCCCCACGGTGAGAGAACGGCGGGAAAATGACTCGTCCCAAAATAGTCATCCTGATGAGCTTCCTAATTCCTCGACAGAAACACCCATTGTGTCCCAGTCTGAAGAAACTTCCAATATCGGAACATCTACACATACCGAGTTTACCGACCAGACCGTCCAACGTGCTCAAACGCATATGAATTCGGGCTCGGAATCCTTGCGTAAAAATTCCAACATGGCCGCCAGTGTAAATAATCAAGTAATCAGCGGTATGCTGAATACTATGAACACAATGCAACAAACCGTTATGGGTCTACAACAGACAGTGCTCCGACTGATGTCAGATAAGACGGGAAATACAGGAAATAGCACAATGACACGGGTAATTCACTGGACACGGCGTATGCGGCCATGAGGAGCCAGACTGTCCCAGCAACTCAGAATACAGGTGGGTATAGATTACCTCAGACAGAATTTGGTGTCCCCTCTGAAAACCTAACGCATTTAGACATTCTTGGGGATAAATTCAGACAGAAGATATGGGGGGGGGGGGAAGACGTGAATTTAGCAGTATTGCTAATACCCAAATATGAGACAGAAAAGACGAAGAATATCACAATAAACTTGTTAAAATATGAGGATCCTCGACTCCATAAACAATTGACTATATCCGAATTTATTACTGCATTCGGACGATACAAGAGAGTCATGTGTCAAAAGTACCCTGAAAGGCAAGTTGAACTGGACAGGTACGAGGCTAACATAGCGGATATTCATAACGTTTATGGTCAAAAGTTCTATGATTACCATTACCAGTTTTCTGCCAGAGCAGCCACAGCACTAAGAGACCATAATGTTAAGGTGGATTGGTCAGTTAAGGACTTGAATCTTATGATGATAGTGATGGGAAATGCTCAAGCCAATACCTGTAATACATGTTCATCAACCTTACACATGTCTGCTTTCTGTCCAAAAATATCTGAAAGTAGAATTCCAGTGATTACTTCATCTCCGTCACAAAACCCGAAGTCATCATCAATGGACAGATATGGACGACCAAGGACCATAATAGATGGGAAAGAAGTGTGTAATAACTTTAACGAAAACAAATGCAAAAGACAAAATTGCCAGTTTGAACATCTGTGCACAACATGTCATTCTAAGGACCATGGATCCTCATTATGTAAGAATGTTTCCAGAGTCCAGCCTAAGGTTGGAAAAAAGTGACTAGAAAACAGGACAATGATGACAGATGATCTCCTAACAACGCCTGTAAGCATTAAAGTTTTAACACATGAACTTTTCCATCATCCTGACAAAGAATTTGCGAAATATTTGTGTGATGGTTTTACTTATGGCTTTGATACTATGATTTCTAATGCAGATGCTGATTCAGAAACCTTAGAATGTAGAAATCTTCTGTCGGCTAGAAATCAGCCAGAAATAGTAGATAAATTAGTGAAGACAGAAGTGGAAAAAGGTTTCGTGGTAGGTCCACTAGAGTCACTTCCATTCCCAAAATACAGAGTAAGCCTAATAGGCGTGGCAATTGGGAAATATTCAGGGAAACCAAGGCTTATCATGGACTTATCATCCCCTCATGATAACGAGCATCATGCCAGTGTCAATTCCATGATAGATAAAGAAAACTGTTCTCTGTCTTATGTTAAAATAGATGACGCCATACGAATTATTCAGACTCTAGGACGTGGGACCACTATGTGCAAAACAGACATTTCCGATGCCTTTAAACTTGTCCCGGTTCTACCCGAACAGTGGCATATGTTTTGTTTCAAATGGAGATCACAATATTATTACTATACAAAATTATCATTTGGTTGCAGATCAAGTCCAAAGATATTTGACAATCTTTCACAAGCAGTGTGCTGGATAGCGTATAACAATTATGGAATCAAATATATTCTACATCTATTAGATGATTTCATCACTTTCGAACATCCTGAAAATGACGGTGAAACAAACATGAATTTGTTGTATTATATCTTTCAAACTCTCAATATACCAATGGCTCTGCATAAAACCGAAGGACCTACCACGTGCTTAGAGTATTTAGGCATCATTTTAGACTCACAGTTAATGGAAGCCAGACTCCCAAATGAGAAATTCCAAAGAATAACAGAATTCCTTCACAAATTTCAATCACGCAAATCTTGTACGAAGAGAGAACTTCTGCAGCTACTGGGCCATTTGAACTTCGCCAGCCGTGTCATCCTCCCAGGAAGGTCTTTTGTTTCCCATCTTATTGCCCTATCCACCACCGTTAAACAACTGCATCATTATGTGAAAATAAACGAACAATGTAGGGAAGACATGCAAATGTGGCTGAGTTTCTTAAGCAATTGGAATGGCATTAATCTATTTTATAGTATGTCTCAGATTACATCAGAGGAACGAACTAAATCTTTATACAGATGCTTCTGCAACGGTAGAATATGGAGGGTTCTTTAAAGGAAACTGGTTCTCCGAGCCTTGGACAGATGAAGTTAAACAATTATGTGATAGTGATACAGAATTATCAATTGCTTTCTTTGAGTTATATCCCATTGTTGTAGCTTCCATTCTCTGGGGTCATATGTGGAAGAAACAAAGAATAGTTTTTATGTGTGACAATTCGGCAACGGTAGCAATCTTAAATAACGGAAGATCAAAGTCTGTACATATTATGCCGTTAATGAGACGATTAACTCTTGTGTCTGCTCAACATAATTTTGTATTCTCTTCAATTCATGTTCCTGGTAAACAAAATACTATAGCAGATGCTTTATCACGTTTACAGATTTCGAAGTTTCGCAGTCTGGTACCCAGTGCCCAAGAGCATGCAACCAAAGTACCACCACCCAAAGATGTTTTGTGGAGCTCGAAGACGTAGTACAACAATTATGGACAAATGCCGTAGCACCAAGCACAAGATCCACTTATAGGTCTGCGTTCCATATGTACGTTCAATTTTTATTGATGTCATGTGCCATTTCTAGTGCATATACTTCGGACATCCCAGTGACTGAAGACTATTTGATATACTTTGTAGCTCACTGTGTTAGTAGGCTTAAGCTAAGCTTTTCAACCATTAAGCTGTATTTGTGTGGTATTAAATTTATATGTCTTGAAAGCAACATTGCTTACCCAGATGTCACCAATCTGTCTCGACTTAAAGCATTGTTAAATGGTGTCAAACGAATGCAGTTACCATCTTGTAAGCTAAGACATCCTATAACTTTTGACATACTGAAAAAAGTTTGTATATATTTTCGTAGAACAGAAAGTTTTAGAAATTTTATGTTAGAAACTGTATGTACTATAGCATTTTTTGGTTTTTTAAGGTGTGGGGAATTTACCATTAAGGATTCTTTTGACCCCACAACAAACTTATGTGTTAGTGACCTTAGTGTTCTAGAAAGTTGTGTATTGTTAAATCTTAAGATCTCAAAAACTGATCCTTTTAGAAAAGGAATTACAATTAAACTGTTCCCCACAAGCAACATAATATGTCCATTTTCAATATGTTGTAAATATTTAAAAGCACGCTGTTCCTTGCCCTTTTCAGCCAAGCAACCATTATTTGTAAATAGCGATGGAAATGCTCTAACAAGAACTGAATTTATTTCTGAACTTAAGCATGCTCTTAAATGTATTGGATGTAATTCAGATGTATATAATGGACACTCATTCAGGATAGGGTCAGCAACCACTGCAGCTGCTGTCCATATGGAAGACCATTTAATCAAGGTGTTAGGTAGATGGTCTTCTGATGCTTATTGTAGATATATTAGAACACCAGAAACTGTTTTACGAGAGGCACAAAAGTCAATGACAACTGTTTAATACCTTGTCACCTGACACTTATTTTCAGTTTTAGGTTTAGTTGACCTTTGTCAGATAATTGCATACAATTTTCGTTTTTTCAGCATTAAGAACTTTTATGTTTTATATTAGGATGTACATGTATATCATTTCTATTCAGTATTATTAATATTGCATTTTTGGGGGCACTCAGCTTCATTTCGATTGCAACTACATTCACCTGAGTTTTGGCCATCATTTAATAATTTTTTACCATATATATATATTATTAAATTTTAAACCCCCAAAAAATCATGTAACTTGTTTTAAATAGCTTATATTCCGGCTCTTGTTACCTAACTATGAAGTGGCTTTCATTTCGGCATGCTGAGAGAAATATCTCACTAAATTCATAGAGAGGCTACACCGAGTTTATAAGCATCATCTTCCAGACATTCTCTTCCGGCTCTTGTATCCTGGAACCAGTCCATCTTTCAGTCTACCACACCGAGTTGAGTACTACGTGCTCTTCCGGATCTTGTCGGTCAAACATGACTGGTCTCCTATGCTGCTACACCGAGTTGAGTTTTGTCTTGGAAGTTGAACCTCAATCTCAAAGCACACCAGTTTCACCGAGTTGACTGGTACATATATCTGTACCTTTCTTCCGGCTCTTGGGACTGGTTCCGCTGTTCTGAGGATAGGGTTTTTAACTGATTAAAACTATGAGAAGCTGAGTCTGCCCCTATTTCTGCCAAAGTATATATATGTATTTCAATGTTATTTGATGTTTTTGTATTGGAAGTTATTTGTGGAATGTTTAAATGTTAGACTTTGAATAAATGTTTTAACCTACTATACTATTTTATCTTTTCAACATAAATTAAGGCTTATGAGAATAAGCTAAGTTTATGTTGAAAAGAATACCGTAACTTTAACATCTACCAGGTTAGGTTCTGATAGTTACATTTAATTTGTTCAACGATTCTGATTGGATGTTACTTATAAACTAGATAAAGTGGCAGAGTGGATTGTAAACAGAAGTCTAATCGCCACCACCCCTACGCATCTCCATATTTTTCATTTTCATGTAAAATGCTTATTCATATATATTTTCATTCCCAAATTGGGTAGACTCAGCCTTTTATTCATCATTTAATAATTTTTTACCATATATATATATTATTAAATTTTAAACCCCCAAAAAATCATGTAACTTGTTTTAAATAGCTTATATTCCGGCTCTTGTTACCTAACTATGAAGTGGCTTTCATTTCGGCATGCTGAGAGAAATATCTCACTAAATTCATAGAGAGGCTACACCGAGTTTATAAGCATCATCTTCCAGACATTCTCTTCCGGCTCTTGTATCCTGGAACCAGTCCATCTTTCAGTCTACCACACCGAGTTGAGTACTACGTGCTCTTCCGGATCTTGTCGGTCAAACATGACTGGTCTCCTATGCTGCTACACCGAGTTGAGTTTTGTCTTGGAAGTTGAACCTCAATCTCAAAGCACACCAGTTTCACCGAGTTGACTGGTACATATATCTGTACCTTTCTTCCGGCTCTTGGGACTGGTTCCGCTGTTCTGAGGATAGGGTTTTTAACTGATTAAAACTATGAGAAGCTGAGTCTGCCCCTATTTCTGCCAAAGTATATATATGTATTTCAATGTTATTTGATGTTTTTGTATTGGAAGTTATTTGTGGAATGTTTAAATGTTAGACTTTGAATAAATGTTTTAACCTACTATACTATTTTATCTTTTCAACATAAAATGTATATATTATTTTAGTAATATTCCACTATCGCCTGCATATGGTGTTTAAGCTTCCTAACGTATTCGGTACTCTAGAGCAAGCTCTGTGCACAATCAACTTTTAAAACTGAGGCAGAATACTGACAAATAAGATGATGTTAAAGGGCTTTCAAAACGTCTCAATCAAAGTCAGCATTTTGAAAATTCCTGGGTCATTATAATGCTCTTGTTAGCAAATACATTTATTTTTCCATTAAAAAAAATCATAAGATTATAATTTTTTTTAAATTTTAGAATCTTAAAAAAGCATGATGGTCATAACTTTTATATATACGGAATATAATAAACCATATAGTACGATGCCGTTAAAGACCAGAAAGAAATATAATTCGGACGAATTTTGATATATATTTTAAAAAATAAGGTACTGCAATAGTTCTGACTAAGTTTGTTCTTCGCTCGGATATATGTTATCTGTGTGGACATGTAAGTTCTTCCTTTGGACAAATTAAATAAATTTTTATGAAATTGTTTTTGATCGGAATTCTTCGGACGAACTTGATATTTGCTCGGACAACTTAGCTAATTACATGTACATATTTGTCGAAAAGATTTGATGCTTCTTTATTCAAGATTTATCATTACTCTGATAAAGGGGAGCATCCAGAAAATCTGAGGTGGTACATATCAGCACATTGATTAACTGGGCAGGCAAATACAAAGAAGGACGTTTCAAAGTATAGTGAGCTATGCAGGTATTAAAGAAACAGTCAGTATTCTAAGGCCACAGAGTTGAGAGGTACAATAGGAATATGTTAAATATTTCTGTTATTTGTTTCCATATTTGTATTTCTTATCTAAAGATAGGTAAAACTTCAGAGTTCAAAGAAAGGGCGATGCTCATTTTGGACAACATCGGATTGCCAAAAGCTTAAAAACAACCAAAATTGGTCCTAGTGCATTAAATGTACATTTCCATGTGGAATTAAACGACTATTAGCTCTATTCAAGGCTATAAAGAGTACTTATAGGATCTGATTTCTATTTTCCAAAATCCAATGACTGGAAAGGTTTTACAATTTTACTTCCTTCAATCTGTTGGTGAGTAGGCATTTTTTTCTGCTATTTAACTATTATATATATCATATTGTTTTGTTCAGCAAGTATATACACACTTAATATGACTGCGTAAATTAGCTTTTGTTTTGAGAAATTATCGGAACTGTAAAATGTCCAATGTTGATATGTATTAAACATTTTAATTATAGTATACAGTGCAATTTTATAAACAAGTAAAAGCTTATATATGTCATAATAAATAGAATCAATCCTTAAGTGTTGGTAGTGTGGGCGTGCCCTGTAGGATGGACTAAACATGGCCCCGCCTGTTACCACATGGGACCAGAGGAGGAATCTTGGTTTGATGGGATGGTATGTACGAGCACATGTCTGAGAGGTGTCATGTGTATTTATAAGTAGTGTAATCTTTTCAGTTTAGAGGGGTATTAAGCCGAATATTTTAACTTGATTACATGTATTAAATATTTCAACACGGTACATGTACCTCTAAAATAGGTTCGATGTATGAAGACGTGTATAATCATCAGTAAAGAGCAACTAAATTTCCATAGGAAATACTACTATCATTCCAATAACAGCGTGTCAGTTTGCTTGATCGACCGTAGTATAATTTCGCAAATTAATTACCATATTATCCATCGATAGGATGTTTGATTTCAATGAAATCAATACCACTTTGCATATGAAACACAAATACCTGCAATACCACTGATAATACTGGCAAATCACATTGCATGATTCTTTACGAGTACGGCATTTGTTGTAAGCACCAACACGTGGTCAGTCAAATCCCGTTTTCTGCATATGTTATAATATTTGGTTGATTAAATATTCCTAGTACAAGGAGAAGACCTTTTAAAGATTTTGATTTATTACAAAAAAGCGCTAGAGTTTCTTGGACATCTAAATTGAAACTCTAGCGCTTTGTTGTGTGAATCAAACGTTCTGTAAAAATCATTTTTAGCTATCAATTGCATACCGCACCCATGTAATAAAACTCAGGAGTGTTACTTTACTAGTTTTCATGTACATGTTCTTATAATATTTTTATCCGGTCAATTCACGACACGTACATGTATGATCAAAGGTAGTAAAACAGGCTTTGACTGACCACGTGTTGCTGTTTTCTTCCGTAGTAAACAATCATTCAAAGTGATCGATGGTGAATACTCTTGGTGGTATTTGGAAGTCCAGTGTTTTATATTTTGATTGATTGATTTATTTTTATTTAATATATTTTGATGCAGGAGCACAATGAAAACTAGCTACTTGCTAATTGTGTAATCCTGGATAAATAAAGATTATAATTATTATATATAAGGTACTGTGCATTTTTTAAGCTAACCAGCCAATCAACGAGTAATATAGTAATCAAGGTGTAAAAATTTAGCACGCTTGATCAAGCAAACTGACACACTGTTATTTGAATGATATCTCTCTTTTATGTCTGGTGTATATGAAATATATGGAGATAACGAACAGTATTCAACTTCAAAAGTCCATTAAACAATACAAATTTTGGAGCAGAGCAAACACGGACCTCTAAAACATCAGAGGTGGGATATATATATATATATATATATATATATATATATATATATATATATATATATATATATATATATATATATATATATATATATATATATATATATACCGGTATATATATATATATATATATATATATATATATATATATATATATATATATATATATATATATATATATATATATATATATATAAAGCACATTTTACAACAACTCTTAAGCTAACATAACTGCCCTAAGTGAAGAAATATTTAATATAGAAAGCACAAAGAAATTCACTTTTTATAAGGATACCCACTTCCGCCCCAGCCCGGGGTTGAACTCTCGACCTACGGAATCTGTTTCCTAGCAGTACAGGAACAGCGCACCAGACCGCTCGGCCATCTAGACAAGTCAAAAAACTTCTTCACGGTCATTGAGAATGGAAGTGAGATACAGTTATTTGGACATTAGTTTATTATTTGGACATTAGAGGATCTTTACCGATACACATTGTGATGAAATTTAATTTTATTTATAAAGCACATATTACAACAACTCTTAAACTAACATAACTGCCCTAAGTGAAGAAATATTTAATATAGCAATCACAAAGAAATTCAATTTTAATTTATAAGTGTTAGTTTAAGAGTTGAAGTGTGTATCCCTATAAAAAGTGATATTCTTTGTGCTTTCTATATATATATATATATATATATATATATATATATATATATATATATATATATATATATATATATAATTTTTTTTTAAAGAAAATGTGTCAAATTCATGGATCCAGCCTCGCAACAGTGTTAAGTCAAGAAGAACAGAATTTTATTGTAGGCCTTATGAAACAATCACACAGTAAGTTTCGGAAAAAAATGACTGTCTACAGATGCTCATTTCACAGACAGTTTTATAATTTTGCAATGTAAAAAGGCTATTGATAAAAAACCAAATGTCTATCACATAACAATTTTCGCAAAAATAAGGTAATTATAAAAAAAGGAAAAGGAAGAATGCCATTTTAAGTTGAATTAATGTAAATGACTTGTAGATTTTATACGACCTCCCTTACATTGTCATGACAAGCATATACGTACAGCACCGTTTTGAGATGGATTGGTCCAGTATTTGTATGATATATGTAATTTGATGCCTTTGATTGGTCCAGTATTTGTATAATATATGTAATTTGTCTAACTGTAAATTTCAGACAGTGTTGTTTGGTTAGGTGGGACTGATTGGACTTTAGAAGGCACCTTTGTCTGGGAACCGTATGGGGACAAAATGAGTTACACACATTTCGGTCATGGGGAACCAAACAATGGAAATGGGCGTGGTCACGAAAATTGTCTGTTGATTGACGGTTCCTCACATAAAGGCTACGCCTATGTCTGGGATGACAGAGACTGTGATGATTCGCACTATTATATTTGCAAACAAATGTAAAATTACATCTAAGTTTTATAATCTTTTTTGAATGATAATCTCTTTTCATTTTCATTTCATATGGGGTAAAATACAGAATATAATTATGTAACTTTATATTTCATATGATAGACTCTTTCGAAACAAACAATCCAAAGGTGCTTGATAACAGGATTTGGTATCCCCCCCCCCACCCCCGTTAGTTTTCCTAAATCAGATTCCCCTTACACATGGCGTGATTTCAAATCAAAAGTCATTGAATGAAAATCGTTTGTATATAAACTGAAATTATACAGAAATATTTATGAAATGTTTGTTTTCAGTCATTTTTAAACCTTTGGTATTGAATTAATGGTTAACATTTCATAAGTGAATCGAAATATTCATTTTCAAAAGTCTTAGAAAAAGGGATGGGATGTACAAATGTATGTTGTAAAGATATCATAATTGTTGTCTTTTAATTGTTTTGTAGGGACGATATAACTGGAAACTTAATTGGTTGACCACTGTCAAAATTATTTCTATACACGATCGCGATGTTTTTGAAATAAACTTGAAAAAGAGAATTGTTCATTATGATATGAATATCAAACAAATAGCGACCGGTTATTAAATTATTATTAAATTCAAGACTTTATTTAGTTGTATTTATTTTATCAATACGCAACACATTATCGTATCATGAAACGGAGTATTCTTTCTAATGTTTCAACTATAAGAACAGAGGAACGAGATCAATATTAAGTTTAGCAGAATTAGTATTAATAACTTAGTTTGTTATCATATGTGGGTGTAAAGACAAATAATGACCCCCATAGAATAATGACCGGGGGTCATTTTTCGCCATAGAATAATGACCCCCAGTCATTATTCAACGGCGAAAAATGACCCCCGGTCATTACTCGGCGTCGAAAAATGACCCTTTTGCCCGTAGAAAAAGTGTCATCATCCTAAAAATCTGCACACCCTACGTGACGAAAAATGACCCCCGTAGAATAATGACCCCTTGTGCATTAAAGTTGAAATTTTTAGGGGGCAAAAAAATAAAATAAATCAAGAGACATGTTGGCCAAAATGCTTACCTGAGCATGTCAGGCATGGCATCGAAAGGGGAAATGGGCATTATAAGAGGCAAAAATGACAAGTTACCTTAGAAAAATCTTTGATGAACCCCTAAAAAAGTTTATTGATGTAAGGGGGATTTCCTTTTTCTCTACTCTATCAAAAAGTTGAGGGTAGGGCAACCAAACTTGCAATTAACATTTTCAAGCGAAAAAAAATTAAAAATTACGTTCATGAAAATGGAAGGGGGAGGACACCCCACCCAACCCCTGATTCTATGCGCCTGAATGTTATGTTCACCTTGTCAACTAAAGTATGAGAGATTTTTTTAACTATACTATATAAAAAAGAGGGGCTGTTTACAAGACTTTAAATGAACTTTTTCAAACTATAAATTGCTAAAATTTACATTCAGAAAAAGTGGGGGGGGGAGGGTATACCTCCCTCTTCTCTGATTCTTTGTGCCTGAATATTATGTCAACTAGAGTGGAATTCGGATGGAGGTGAAATAACTTTTCAGAAATCTTTTCAATCTATTTTTAGTTCAGTGTAGGAAAAATAAATTCTTATGGTCACCTTGAAGGTCAATAAAATAGTCTGTATTTAATAATAAATTGAAAACATTAATGTACTTCAATATAAACTGTATTGAAATGTTTCCATATTGATGTGACAAATGTATCACTGTTTTAAAGTGCATTTTAAAAAAAAAAAATATTCCTCTTACATGTATTTATCCTATTCTTAGACGACCATGTTAACAGACTTGAATGTACATTATACTGCATGGGATTCTTCTTTATTGCTTCTATATATTTGAAAAGAAATTCCCATGGACCACTTTTTAGAAATAAAATTGAATGCACATTATACGATTGTGTACGAGACATGCAGAAATTTTATGTCCTTCTTATGTTTGCTACGTCTGCTTCATATTTGGACGTTCTTCTGACTATAGACGATAAAGAACAACTAAATTGTCTAACAAACGGGAGGACCTCAACTTTTTCCATCGTCAACTTTCCTTATTTATGTAGTAATATTCCGCTATCATTTGCATATTATGTTTAAAGGTGCTTAGACACAGATTTGAAGTTAATATTTTCTCAAGTTTTCTGTATAATATCACGACTTATATATTGCAATAGCATTTCACACGAAAATAAAATTAAAAACTTATTTTATCTGGAAATTATTGGAACTAAAAATTCCTGGACGCGTTTGATTAACACATCATTGCACTTTCACAAATGTTATCTTTATCCTTAATATTTAAGAGAAGAAGCAATTTTGTTGTGTATTAATGAAAAATATTACATCTATCATCTAGAAAATTCAAAGTAGAAATGTGCAAAAGCAAACCCCCTCATTAATATCGTCAGCCCGTGCTCAGTATTGTGTACAGAGTTTAACAAATTGAATACACCCGTGAAACGTAAACTGTTTTTGTAAACAGGGCACGAGCTCTGTTATTGTTAATGTTTACGATTCACCGGGTGTGTTCAATTCTTAAAGTCTGCACACACCACTGAGCACGGACTGACAATACTGTGAGTGGGTTTTTCTTTCGAACATTTCTACTCTGAATTTTCTGGATTATAGTTTTAATATTTTTCATCAATACATAACAAAATTGCCACTTTTCTCAAGTGTTAAGAATAAAAATTAAAATTTGTGAAAGTGCAAGGATGTGTCAATCAAACGCGTCCAGAAATTTGAAGTTTCAATAACTTCGAGATGAAATAAGATTTTTATTATATTTGAGCATGAAATGCTATAGCAACATATAAGTCATGAAATTATACAGAAAATTTGAGAAAATATTAACTTCAAATCTGTGTCCAAGCACCTTTAAGTCTACCAACTTATTCGATACCCAAGAGCACGATTAATTTTTAAATCGAGGCAGGCTACTGACAGATACATGTGAGTTGATGTTACAGGGGTTTCAACAACCTCGTTTAAAGTCAGAATTTCGTAAATTCATTGGTCGTATCAATGACCCTGTCTACAAATATAACCTATAAATGGGTCAATTAATTTGCCTTTGCTTTTATACTAATTTCGACAACGGATTATCACGTTTACCTGATTTATTCATAGGGCTTATGACGGATGTGAGGGGGCAACAGGGGATGTTTACTCTTTCGAGGCACCTGATCCCACCTCTGCAATTTTCAGGGGTCCTTTTTTATGCCCTGTTAACAGAATTGTTTGTGGATATTTTTAAATCATTACTGTTCATTATCTTCACCTTTTTTCATTAGGAAATATATCCACGGTATGTCGTTCGCATGAGATATTATGTCATTTTATTATGTCAAATGATATCATCATTTTTCCTTCACTTTTTAGAAAAGTTAATCGTACTCAAAGCATGCTGAATACTTTGGTAGACATGTTTACCACTGAAAAGCCAGAACATCCCGCTTGTCTATTATTTAGCTAGGTATGTCTATATTCGGTCAAATATCCAGATATGAAACAAATGGAAGACAGTCATAAAGGGAGATTATGTTAAGTGTTATATAACCAATAGTAGCCATTTTGTGATTTTTAATATGTGCTGAGAACACAATAAGCTTAAAAGATAGAAATATGCTGTTAATGTAGTGCTGTTTTATTGCATTTTAATTGACCGTTCGTCCAGTGTTGGTCAATAAGGGCATGAAGAAGAATTAAACATTGAGATTCAAACTTTGGCATCAATCATTATAAATCATTATAAATTTTGTATCACTTTGTTGGAAAAGGGGTCATTTTTCAACCGGGTTCTGTTTTTTATAGGACGCACATATAAAAAAAAAATGACTCCTAGGGCTCTTTTTCTACAAAAAATGATTTTTTTTCTACGGCTGGGGGGTCATTTTTTTTTCGTTGAAAAATGACCCCCCGGTCATTATTCTATGGGGGTCATTATTCGTCTTTACAGGGGCAATCTTTTTAATAAAAATCATTGCTGAAGATAAAAAAAAATATAATGGGATCATAGTATTCCATCAGTTTTAGATTCATTTCTCTTAAAAGAGTCCTTTGTAGTGTAATAGTAATACTGTTTGTGTAAATATCTATATTGTTACAGCATGATCTTAATACTCAAGATGTACCCGATTTATTCTTTTTTGAATTTAGCTTCACAAAAACATGTGTAAGGTACAAATTCGAAAAAGACAAAAACTGATACTGAAGGTTTTTTTTAAATGTCTTAAAACGCAAAAGTCCAGCAAATTAAGGCGAAAGAGCAAGGTTCACAAAGCCAATTTGGCCCAGTAAATTTCTGAAAAATCAAAACTCTCATTCTAGATGACACAACATTAGATATCACTTGGACACTTGGTGACTGCATATCTATTGAAAATGACAAAATATTCTCACTAGTCCTTGTGTTACGACGTCATGAATTTCGTCAAATCCTGAAATTTTCCTGAAAACTGCCAAAAGTTTAATAATTTGCATAGAGCGAAACCTCTGATCCAGAATGTGCAATTATATGATGAAAGAACTTTGCCTATAGGTTTTAAAAATATGTTCTTTTTTTTTTTTTTTTTTTTTTTTTTTTTTTTTGGCTGGTTTCATATTTTAATTCTTTGGTGAAAATACTCAGAAACACCAAAGAATTAAAATACAGTGCAGTTTCACACAATCTGTTTTTAATACATGGATTCGGAGGAAACTTTGTTAAAGAAATTATAATCACTAAGTATCCACTTTATATTGGTGTTTAAAATAGGTCGTTGGTCTTGATCAATGTATTTGTATATAGAGAGGGTCATTCTGTACATAAAGTGTACTTAGTTCTTTTAGTATATTTGTGCGAAAGTTTTCATACATATGTATGTGGATATATTGATATTTATGTTTGTTTTTTAAATGTCTATTATGGCATATTTCTGCAATCCAGATAATTTTTGTTAACATAAGAAATCGCGTCAAGTCAAGATAATTATTTCGTCAGGTCAAGATAACTTGATGGTTTTGTCAAGATACAATAAAATTTCTATCTCGTCTAGTCAGGATAAACAACCACATTCTTTTTTCCGATAGCTATTTTTGACGCGATATCTTATGTTGACATAAATTATGTGGATGGCATAATTCAATCTCATTAAAATTATTAAAATTTTCATTAGATTGGGCATAATTGTAAATAGTACATGTAATTAAGGAAAAAATCATTGGTTGGTTTACTTGTATTTTATTTTATTTGTTCCAACTGAATTCATTTGAAATTATGCGTGAAATACTTATTAGAGTAACAATTTTATAGAAGAGATCTGCGTATTTCATTAGAAAATGACCGAGGCACCCGTAGAACGTCTTCTATTTAGATAGCTATATATATGTATATACAGTTATCGTGACTGCAATTCTGAAGAGGCAGTATTGTCAACGCAACAATTTTGTCATGATAAAAGATAAATCATTGTCATGTCAAGATAGGTATAACAAGAAAATGTGA